ATGTTGTTATTTCTTATTTCATCTATGTTGATTATATGAAAAGGGAACCGCATGAGATGAGTAAGATAGGATCATAAGATGACCAATATATCGGAAAACATTTGGAATGGGTCAGATTTTGACCACTTATTTAGTTTTGTTTTGTAGAAAGCCTTTCTTTAAAGTTTATTTCATTTTGTATAAATTGTATCTTCATTTTAATCAATGTTTCATCAACAAATTTGCCTGGATTAATAAATAAGAAGCAAATATAGTGGACAATCATATGAAGTGTGCATTTCTCTCTCTAGGCGCGTTCACTAATGCCAGTCTGCATCGTCAACTTTATCAATTTATCAATAATTCAAATGTTTCATGCATAATCATTACTTTCGCCTGTTCTTTGTGGCAAGCTTTATTTCAGGTGTTGCGTGATATCTCTGCGCCCAAGTAGCAGTGCTTCGCCTGTGTAGAGTCTCCGCAACGGCTATAGATTGAAACACGCGTCCGAGTGAAGATTGCGCAACAGCGCGTCGTCCTTGCAACTGATAGCAGCGGACACGAGCGCTCAGCTTGATTTCAAAAACAACTGATTTTAGCGCTAGATCTCTTATTTAATAGCGAACTAAATTAATGATCTGCTAGTTAACTGGAGATGTTTTATTTATTTGTATTAGGTGCATCCGTGCCTCAATGTTTCAAAAAGTGAATGTGTGTGAAACCATAGTAAAAAACCATTTGTGTTGATTGACGCCAATCGGACGTTCATGTTTTTTTCCGTCTATTTGAAAGTTAGGCTAATAATAACATGTTGCATTCTATACGGCCTGATTATGTCATTTTTTAAGTTACATAGCCTGCCTCCAGTTTTCCTCAACTTGACTAATTAAGAGGCGATATTTGACCGGCATATCATCAAAATGTCCGTTAAACGAAACCTCTGCCGGTCACTTTGACCGTTACCATTTTTTTCTAGCGGAAACTCTGGTTGGGCGACGTTCCTCTCGTTACTTTATTTTAAATGCAATACATGTTGTTAAATGAGTTTATTCCAAGCGTGCTGTATCTTTTTTATGGGCATGCGCAATGCTCAATTTATAAATGAATCAAATGAGTCGATTCTGTTCAAACACTTCATCAAACAGGTTGGCAGATCTGTCTAAATCGGTTCACGAATCAGTTTGAATATTCTGTTCAGTTCCTCACGCACTGAATCGTCTGAAGCGCTTTCAATTCACGACACGGAGCCATAACAGGAAGATTTAAGAACATCATGTGATACTGCTGAGTGAAATTGAGATGCGATCATAGTTTCTCTGATCATAATCCCATCACATTCAGTATGCCTCTAGCACTTAACACTAGGCTATACACTCACCTAAAGGATTATTAGGAACACCTGTTCAATTTCTCATTAATGCAATTATCTAATCAACCAATCACATGGCAGTTGCTTCAATGCATTTAGGGGTGTGGTCCTGGTCAAGACAATCTCCTGAACTCCAAACTGAATGTCAGAATGGGAAAGAAAGGTGATTTAAGCAATTTTGGTGCCAGACGGGCCGGTCTGAGTATTTCACAATCTGCTCAGTTACTGGGATTTTCACGCACAACCATTTCTAGGGTTTACAAAGAATGGTGTGAAAAGGGAAAAACGTCCAGTATGCGGCAGTCCTGTGGGCGAAAATGCCTTGTTGATGCTAGAGGTCAGAGGAGAATGGGCCGACTGATTCAAGCTGATAGAAGAGCAACTTTGACTGAAATAACCACTCGTTACAACCGAGGTATGCAGCAAAGCATTTGTGAAGCCACAACACGCACAACCTTGAACAGCAGAAGACCCCACCAGGTACCACTCATCTCCACTACAAATAGGAAAAAGAGGCTACAATTTGCAAGAGCTCACCAAAATTGGACAGTTGAAGACTGGAAAAATGTTGCCTGGTCTGATGAGTCTCGATTTCTGTTGAGACATTTAGAGGGTAGAGTCAGAATTTGGCGTAAACAGAATGAGAACATGGAACCATCATGCCTTGTTACCACTGTGCAGGCTGGTGGTGGTGGTGTAATGGTGTGGGGGATGTTTTCTTGGCACACTTAAGATCATCAACTGCAAGATGCTATCCTATCAATATGGGCCAACATTTCTAAAGAATGCTTTCTGCACCTTGTTGAATCAATACCACGTAGAATTAAGGCAGTTCTGAAGGCGAAATGGGGTCAAACACAGTATTAGTATGGTGTTCCTAATATTCCTTTAGGTGAGTGTAAATCTCTGTAATACTGGCGTGAAGACACTGAGAATCACTGATGCTACCTCTACTACCTTTGCTGAAGCTTTTGAGGAGCTCTTTAATTATCCTGAATTTGCTTCACCAGAATTGAACCAGGATGAACTACTTTATAAATTTGATTCTATCTGCAGTACTATTTTAGATGATATAGCGCCATTGAGAATAAAACATCAAAAGTCCATCTCTGAGCCCTGGGTTAACAATACTACTCGAACCCTGAGACAGATATTGTGATGGAATCCGAGTGAGAGAGGCCGAGTGTGTCTGCGCGCGCGCTGCGCGCGAGAGAGAGAGAGAGAGAGAGAGAGAGAGAGAGAGAGAGAGAGAGAGAGAGAGAGAGAGAGAGAGAGAGAGAGAGAGAGAGAGAGAGAGAGAGAGAGAGAGAGACCGAGTGTGTCTGCGCGCACGCGCGAGAGAGAGGCCGAGTGTGTCTGCGCGCACGCGCGAGAGAGAGAGGCCGAGTGTGTCTGCGCGCACGCGCGAGAGAGAGAGGCCGAGTGTGTCTGCGCGCACGCGCGAGAGAGAGAGGCCGAGTGTGTCTGCGCGCACGCGCGAGAGAGAGAGGCCGAGTGTGTCTGCGCGCACGCGCGAGAGAGAGAGGCCGAGTGTGTCTGCGCGCACGCGCGAGAGAGAGAGGCCGAGTGTGTCTGCGCGCACGCGCGAGAGAGAGAGAGAGGCCGAGTGTGTCTGCGCGCACGCGCGAGAGAGAGAGGCCGAGTGTGTCTGCGCGCACGCGCGAGAGAGAGAGGCCGAGTGTGTCTGCGCGCACGCGCGAGAGAGAGAGGCCGAGTGTGTCTGCGCGCACGCGCGAGAGAGAGAGGCCGAGTGTGTCTGCGCGCACGCGCGAGAGAGAGAGGCCGAGTGTGTCTGCGCGCACGCGCGAGAGAGAGAGGCCGAGTGTGTCTGCGCGCACGCGCGAGAGAGAGAGGCCGAGTGTGTCTGCGCGCACGCGCGAGAGAGAGAGGCCGAGTGTGTCTGCGCGCACGCGCGAGAGAGAGAGGCCGAGTGTGTCTGCGCGCACGCGCGAGAGAGAGAGGCCGAGTGTGTCTGCGCGCACGCGCGAGAGAGAGAGGCCGAGTGTGTCTGCGCGCACGCGCGAGAGAGAGAGGCCGAGTGTGTCTGCGCGCACGCGCGAGAGAGAGAGGCCGAGTGTGTCTGCGCGCACGCGCGAGAGAGAGAGGCCGAGTGTGTCTGCGCGCACGCGCGAGAGAGAGAGGCCGAGTGTGTCTGCGCGCACGCGCGAGAGAGAGAGGCCGAGTGTGTCTGCGCGCACGCGCGAGAGAGAGAGGCCGAGTGTGTCTGCGCGCACGCGCGAGAGAGAGAGGCCGAGTGTGTCTGCGCGCACGCGCGAGAGAGAGAGGCCGAGTGTGTCTGCGCGCACGCGCGAGAGAGAGAGGCCGAGTGTGTCTGCGCGCACGCGCGAGAGAGAGAGGCCGAGTGTGTCTGCGCGCACGCGCGAGAGAGAGAGGCCGAGTGTGTCTGCGCGCACGCGCGAGAGAGAGAGGCCGAGTGTGTCTGCGCGCACGCGCGAGAGAGAGAGGCCGAGTGTGTCTGCGCGCACGCGCGAGAGAGAGAGGCCGAGTGTGTCTGCGCGCACGCGCGAGAGAGAGAGAGAGGCCGAGTGTGTCTGCGCGCACGCGCGAGAGAGAGAGAGGCCGAGTGTGTCTGCGCGCACGCGCGAGAGAGAGAGGCCGAGTGTGTCTGCGCGCACGCGCGAGAGAGAGAGAGAGGCCGAGTGTGTCTGCGCGCACGCGCGAGAGAGAGAGGCCGAGTGTGTCTGCGCGCACGCGCGAGAGAGAGGCCGAGTGTGTCTGCGCGCACGCGCAAGAGAGAGAGAGAGAGAGAGGCCGAGTGCGTCTGCGCACTGCGTGAGACTTGAAAGGAGGAAAAGTGGAATCCCTGTGAAAACCACATTCTCTCCGTGTTGGCGAGCCTATTTTCATTGCAGGAAAGATAATATATACGGCAATAACCATTCATAGTTACAAAGACAATTTGGTTATTTTTGCATGCCTCTCTCTTAATTCCTGTACTCCCTTTGCTGCATTGATTAATCCTAATGTATACAATAAATACAGTTTAATGGGAAAGTGCTTTTCCTTATATTTCTTGCAGGGCCAGTGGGGATTTTTTTTATGTTGAGCCCTGCATTAGGCATGCTCGCTTTGCTAAAACATATTCTCTTATTAATTATTATCATCTGGGCTCTTTCTGCTACTTGATGGGAAGACAAGAGGACACATGATTGGGAAGATGGGAAGACAAATCTCAAGCCATTGTCTCAGTTTTTACACAAACTGTAGCATTGACTGTATTCATCAACCCTGTTACCAAAGTTACTGTATAAGAATCTCTGACTATAACTATGAATAACTTATATTATATTTGACAAATACAACTTTAGCAGTGACTTAGTGTTTACTGATTATTCCTAAAAAAATATATTTTGTAAACCATGTTGAAAATGACTAAAATTCTGGTAACGTTGTTGCAAATTGGGAACCAGATATAAAATAAAAGTTAAAATAGTATTTAGTTCGATCTGAGGTTGACGATCAATATAAAAATGTCTCAAATCTCCCTTTACTGACCATTTGTTGAAGAAAAACCCAGAACATTCTGTACCATTTCATAGTTGAACTGTTTATCTAAATGTGATGAAGTGCTTGAATGTTTCTAACATGAATGTTCTCCAGCATCATGAATGAATGAGGAATAAACACCAACCTCTTTGTTCTTCAGGATCTTCAGTGTGTTTCATTCTGCAGGGTTCTGGATCACTCGTGTTCTCACTGTCCTCTTTAATAAACTCAGTCTTGGCAGATTTCAGCTCTTCCTGAAGCTTTAATGCTCGTCTTCACTTGTAGCTGATGGGAATTTACAGCATTTCTTGGAGAATTACAGTGGGAGGAGCTTCACTGATGATGTGATTGCAGTGGGAGGAGCTTCACTGATGATGTGATTGCAGTGGGAGGAGCTTCACTGATGATGTGATTGCAATGGGAGGAGCTTTACTGATGATGTATTCCAGTGTGGGAGGAGCTGATCTGCCAAAATAAAATATATAAATGAATGAGAAAAGAAAAATACAAAAACACACGTGGAACGTAACAAGTAATGAATATTGGCCTAAGTCACTTACATTTTAGACACTGACTGTTTTTGTTCCATTTCAGCAGCGAAAATAGTTCCAAACAAAGATCATAGAAGAACCGTAACGCTTCTCACAGAAACACATAACCGTGACTTCATCTGAACGATTCAGCGTTACAGAAAATAAAAAACTGATACGATACCACATTGTGTGGCTTTTAGTTGTCATTTTCAGTCAAAAGGCAACAAGAGAAGCAATGTAAGATTGCTTTCCTAGCAATAATAGGATGAGAAAAGCATGGGAAGATACCTGTGGACGAAAAAACTTTATAAAAACTTTATTCTCTCTACTTTAGCCTTGATGCCTTTGAGTCTTTTAGTAGACCACAGCTACTAAAATAGCTTACAAACAGCTGAAACAAGGAACATTAGATGCTATCTGTCAGGATGTCAACATGCCGACACTAATCATGACTCGCGGCCGCTAGAGAAGTTCCTTAGCGCGGATTTCCCTCGATAGCTGTGGCGTTTACACTCCTTGTGGGGAAAAAATTCATGGTACAGCATTTGGTTTAAACCCATACTTATATCCATCGCCACCTGTACGCTCTTTCAGTAGCTGTGGTCATCATGTCAGTATTTTATTCGTCTAAGGCCCCGTTTACACGAAGGGAAAACGCAGATATGTCCCTGCGGTTTGGCCTCTCATTTACACGAAAACCCCGTTTTTATCACAGAAAACGATTATTTCTAAAAACTCCGGCCAAAGTGGAGATTTCTGAAAACGCCGGTTATCTGTTGTCGTGTCAACTAGGAGAAACGGGGTTTTAGGTTCTCTCTTGTCGATTCTGAGGATTCTGATCGGATTGCATGGCTTTATCCTTCTCCCTACACTGCCCCCCATAGGTTTGGCATAGATATGATGGCGCTCGCGGCGTATTTATGCGGGTGTGTGCACAATGTTATTATTGAAAACGGAGGAGGGGGAAATATTCGTTTCTCTAAATACCCAGCCATGTGTAAACGTGGCCTAATTCGAGACGTATTGTGGTAAAAATAGCAACAGATAGCGCTAGTAGCTCACGGAGTGCAACCATTTTACGTCATCCGAATAATGGCGCATCAAATAGTTCAAAATATGTATAAAACGATGTGATTTTTGATGGCTTTTCTACAACATATTTCAGTAAGAGGCATCATTCAAATATCCATTATAAAGGTTCAAATATCATAAATATGCAGATTTAAATATGTCAAAGCATATCTAATTTTTTTTCTGGACAAGCAAATGTTCTGCTTTGTAAGACAAACAGAACCTCAGATACTTCTGGACACCACAAACACACACTGCCGTTTGTCTCCACAGCCCACAGAGTAAAGTCCCCCACTTCCTTCCCTTTACACATCCTTCTCTTCACTTAGAAAGATTACATATAACATTATAATGTTCTATATCAAAGTGAATTAACAGTCATGTTCGATCAATCAATGTATTTATTGATTTAATATGGCTCAATGTAAAGTATTTAGCAGTATATCTTTTCCAGTATATTTTAATAATGACACTTGTGATCGATTCTGTAGAACATGTACTGTTGGGGAATCCGTAGTGAGGACACGACACCTGTACAATGGTTAGTTGGTCCAAAAACTACATGTGATTAATCCAGTTCTCCAGTAAAGAATCAACGTTATACAAAACCGAGTTATGTGTCCGTCATTCAACAGATTCCTATCAATTCCACTCACAGATCTCAAACTTTGACTTTTGACTTGACATTCAGTAAAAAAGTTCTCACTTCAAACATCGAAACAATCACACAAACGAACACAAACGAACACACAATCTCTCAGGTCTGAATGAACTCCACATATTCTCCTCAGGCTCGCTGCTGCTGCACTAAATGTGTATTTCAGGAGGAAGACGCCAGAAAACACGCACAAGTATCGCTGTGATCGATGAAAACAATACAGAAATGAGCCTGTCGCTTAATCAAACTGTATAAAGTGTGTGTGATGGTTGTGTGAATATGAGAAATACCGTGAACTGCTCTCCTCGCCTCAGAAGACTCGACGCTGAAACTAGTGATGTTAATCGTTCTCGTTCACTGAAATCCATCCCGCCTCAGCAGCGCGGCGCTATTCGCAGCGCATGCGCACTGAAACTCAATGACGGAAGAGACGCCGCGAGCGAGCGGTGACGTCATCAGCAGCAACTGTAAATGATCGAAAACGCGCCAAAATACTTTTATTTTTATTTATTCAACTTTTATTATTTTGGCCAATATTTAAGGTTTTAATTCAAGGTCTGAGAAAGCAAGTTTTCTTGAGTTTATAGAAAGTAGACTACTATACTGGCTGAAAAAAATTCCAAAGTATTTGCTTGGCCTATGGGGATTTCAATATTGCAATTGACAGTGTTCTTGATAAATGGCCACCTGGTCAACCCTCATCACTTAATTCAAAGTTTATTCAATTCATGGAGAGACTTGATGTGATTGATGATGTCTGGAGGACCAAATTCCCTTATACTAAAGCTTTTACCTGGAGCAACAAGGCTGCTTCTCACCTCTCTCGTATAGACTTTTGGCTGATCTCTAAATCTATTGACATTCATAGTACTTTTGTTGATATTCTTCCACCACCCCTAACTGACCATAAGGCTATTTTTATAAAAATTAAACACTCTGTTAGCGCTTTAAATTCTAGTAAATCATCACATTGGAAATTATAAAATAGTTCTCTATTATCTCATAATACCGTTAGACTAAAATTGAACTATTTCATTAGTCATTATTGGAAAAAAGCTGTAAGGGAACGCTCTTTTAGTAATAATTGGGAGTTACTCAAATTTGATATTGGTAAATTCATGAGAAGATTTGGGAATAACATGAGAATAATATATTATTATTATGCAATCTGCACTGTTGAGAGATTCTCTAAAGCTTCTGGTCTTTTCTTGAATTTGTCTAAATGTGAACTACTTTCAATTAAAGATTGTAACCTAACTATAATTAATAATATTCCAATTAAAGATAAGATATCTTATCTAGGTATCTGTAAAAATCAAATTGATAGAAGTGTATGTAATGTTTCCCCTATTATGGAGAAAACACAAAGAAAATGTTATTTAATTTCATAAGGAAAATGGCATACATTATATCAAGAAATCTGTTGTTTTAAAATCTTATTTAGATGGTGGCCTCAATATGTTTGACTTTACATTCAATAACACTCTTAAAATGAATTGGGCCAAACACTTTCTCAAAAATCCATTCATTCCACATTATATTTTCTCCAAATTTGGTGGTTTAAAATTTGTATTGCTTTAATTATAATGTTGAAAAAATACCAGCTAAATTATCTAAATTTCATAAGCAGATCCTTCTCGCCTGGTCTCTGATATACAAGCACAACTTTTCTCCTCATAAATATTTTAAATGGAATAACCGTGATAATCTGTATAAAAACAAATCTCTGTTCTTCCAGCGCTGGTTTGAGGCTGATATTTTGCTTGTGAGTCAGTTATTAAACGCAAATGGCCATTTATTCAACTATGAAGAATTCCTTAGTCGTTTTAACTTTCCCATTACCCCTAAAGAATCTGCTATTGTTTTTGATGCCATCTGGAGTTATTAGATTGCTTCAACATATCTCCTCTTCTTTACCTCCTCTAGATCCTAATGTTACAGTGGTGGGGAAATACTGCTTTTCATCACTTCTTCTAATAGATCGATACGGCAATTATTTCTGAATGAATGTGTATCAATTCCAAACGTCACAGTTTACTGGAATGCTTTTGTTCCTGATATTGTCTGGAGAAAGGTTTGGCTGATTCCGAATAGATATTTAATTACTACTAAGATAAGAGAAGTTTCCTTTCGAATTGTCCATCGTGTATATAATACCTTTCTAAAGAAATTCAAATAAGATATTGACGTAAACTGTTCTTTTTGTAAACAGCACCCAGAGACTATAGTGCCTTTATTTTGGCTTTGCCATTACTCTAAATCATTGTGGAAAAACTTTTGCCAGTTAGGATATTATTATTACTTATGAAGTTTTCTTGTTGGACAAGTTCTTTATGAATATTCTTAAGGAGCACACACTGACCTCCTCAAGCTTTTATTTTGGCACTTCCTGTTACCGGCATTTTGAATTAGCATATTAGTTAAATATTTAGTTTCAACCGAATCATTTAGATTCAACATTTAGATTTAGATTTAACATTTAGATTCAACATTTAGATTTAGATTTAATATTTAGATTTAACATTTAGATTCAACATTTAGATTTAGATTTAATATTTAGATTTAACATTTAGATTTAGATTTAACATTTAGATTTAACATACATACAGCACCAGTTTACATGCTGTAGATCATCTTATTCGGCCTATTTATTTAGTCCGTTTTTGTATAACCTATAGAAATAATATATTTAAATTGCAGTTTTATGAAAATTTAGATTAAAATAAAATTAACTTGTTTTTCTCCACTCATGGTAATCAATATCTGTCTTTGGAAAACAACGTGAGCTTTTGTTGTGCTTACATTTACAGCTAGTGCAAGCAGGGGGTGCGTATTCAAACCTTTTTGTTCTGAAATTGGGCACTCATCAGACAAACAGTAATAACCCAGCAAACATTGGTCCGACGGCAACGTCGTGTCCCTGGCCCAAAATAATTGCGGCCAGGACGTCATAAATCGGTAAAAATATGTAACACAGAACCTTTCCTAAAAATGCATTCAGATACATTTGTACATGTCTACAGTTGCATGTATAATTGTTATTTTAACTTTTAGCTCGTGTTATGTTTAGTGTATCGGGTGAGAGGACGTCACCTGGCGACGTCTTTTACACGTGCATTTATAGTCCATCATGACCCTCTATGAAATCCTTGTGAAATATGCAAAAGCTGCGCTTAATCCTCGCATGGTTAATACTGCAAAAATTAATGTAATTGCCCATGAAGTTTTTAAGAGGTTGTGAAGACGTCCACTGACGTCTTTTGCACGTCTAGTCAGGCTGTGAATACTATACGTCCACTGGCGTCGTTTGCACGTCTAGTCTAGCAAGACAGAATTATCAGGAATTATAATTCTTTATAAAATACACGATTTATGTAAATGAATATTTACTTTATCTTGTTTTTATAAATTATTCACAAAATGCCCAGTATAGTCAAGTGATTGCAAAGCCACTGCATTTTAGTCATTATTTTAACCTGTTATATCTTTATGAAAAACACAATTTATATACAAAAGAACATATATCTACTTTATCTTGTTTTTATATATTATAATCACAAAATGCCCAGTATAGTCAAGTGATTGCAAAGCCACTGCATTTTAGTCATTATTTTAACCTGTTGGACCTGATGTTTTCGTTGTTATTTTTTATGTAATGTATTTATATACAAAAACAGTAATATACCCGGTCACCATTTATGTCTGAATTGGATGTAATTGCCCAAACCATAAACTGTGCTGCCAAGATCTCGCGATACAACAAAATCCCGCGATAGGATAGATTATCTCGCGAGATGTTAACGCGTTCTCATATTTAACGGCTCTGGTTCTCCCTAGAACTTTGAACAACCACGAGGAGAGGACGGAGTTGTGTCGATAATATTATTAAAAATCTACTGTTTGGTAAGTACATGTTGTATTAGATTAACGTGCTTGAGGTTTACTTGTGTGACATGAATGAACAGAATGCCCACATTGTCAACTGAAATTTACTGAGTTTGGCTAAAATTAGCCAGTAGGCTAAAAGTAACTTTGAACGTATGCAACAACGGTATACCAATGATACAGTCAAAGTTATTACTGTAACTTATTAATGTAGCCTTTTGAGAGTTTCTTTCAAAAAGTAAATGATCTGAAATGGAATGAAATATTTAGCTGGATTTTAACATCTATGTTTTCAGTAACTGCTTTAAAAATAAAAGCAGAACATATTTTATACAATAAAATAAAATGTAATGCATGTTGATTACCTTTTTCTAATGTTTCATTCATGATTCATTCATCTTGTTCCATGTTTTTTTTTTTTTTAGCTGTAGACCATAAAAATATTTTGAAAATAAGTGCATATCATTTACCTCAAATTTATAGTTTTATTTATTAAAAATATATATATATATATATTCTCTTCCCTTAGATGCTGTGAAGAGGTGGAGCCCAAATGCTACAGACTCTGAAATTGATGCAGCAATGGCAGAACACCTGAAACAGCTCCAGGAACAGCTGGTGGATACATAAAATGAGCCAAACAATGTGTTTAAAGGGATAGTTCACCCCAAAATGAAAATTGTCATTATTTACTCAACCTCATGTTTCAAACCTGTTTTCCTTTCTATGTTATGCTAAACACAAATATGTTTGTAACCAAGATGTCGCTTCCCATTAATCTTTCTCCAATAATGGTAGTCAATGGTTGCTCTATTTGCTTGGTTACAAACATTCTTCAAAATATCATCTTTTGTGTTCAGCAGAAGAAAGAAACTCATACAGGTTTGGAACATGAGGGTGAGTAAATGAAAGAATTTTCATTTTTGGGTGAACTATCCCTTTATATAATACAGTATTTTGTAATTGGTATTTAGTTTGGTTAACAAATTTAAACATTGAAAAAATATTAAGAGACATTTTGGCTGTTCAAGATCAATAAAATGTGCTAAATCAGAACATGCTTCTTTTTTTCTTATGTCCACAAATAATGTGTTCTTGTTTGTGATGCACACGTGATTAAAACGTTTTATTGACGGTCAGGTCTGACTGGACCAATTTTGGACCTTTTTAGAACCTTTGTCAAGATGTGTAAACCTCAAGACTTGATTGCCTTTCACGATGTTACACAATGTGTGTGTGATTATTTTAAATGCAGGCTTATACACTTAAATTATGCAGCAACACATTTAAACACACAAATGACGACGCATTTAGACGTCCAGAGACGCGCTGAAGAGACGTGGAATTCACGGCCAGAAAAGACGTGGAATTCACGGCCAGATGACGTCAAAGACGTCGGTTCAACTTCCATTTTGGAACTATTTTTCAACCATGACGGGACGTGTCGGACGGACGTCTTTTCAACGGTCATTACACGTCCAAATGTTTGCTGGGTCGACGCTGAAACTCAATGGCGGTAGAGACTACTAACCAGTATGGCAAGCCATATTAGCATATGCAACTATGGCAAGCCATATTAGCATATGCAACTATGGCAAGCCTTTACAACTGTGTGTTGACTATCCATATTTATTTTGACTAGTCATAATTATAATTTGACTAGTTAGAATGCAGAGATGGGAAGTTACGAAGTACAAATACTTAGTTATTGTACTCAAGTAGATTTTTCAGAGATTTTTACTTCCCAGCAAACAAGGGACGTCCCCCGGACTTTTCAAACGTCCCCTTAGGTCCGCTTTGCAACGTTCCCGATCGGACGTTCCGATAACGTTCGCATTTGGTCCCCTTTGTAACGTTCGCTGACGGACGTTCCGATAACGTTCGCATTTGGTCCGCTTTGCAACGTTCCCGATCGGACGTTCCGATAACGTTCGCACTTGGTCCCCTTTGTAGCGTTCGCTGACGGACGTTCCGATAACGTTCGCACTTGGTCCCCTTTGTAACGTTCGCTGACGGACATTCCGATAACGTTCGCACTTGGTCCCCTTTGTAACATTCGCTGACGGACATTCCGATAACGTTCGCACTTGGTCCCCTTTGTAACGTTCACTGACGGACATTCCGACAACGTTCGCATTAGGTCCGCTTTGTAACGTTCGCTGACGGACATTCCGACAACGTTCGCATTAGGTCCGCTTTGTAACGTTCGCTGACGGACATTCCGATGACGTTCGCATTAGGTCCCCTTTGTAACGTTCGCTGACGGACATTCCGATGACGTTCGCATTTGGTCCGCTTTGTAACGTTCGCTGACGGACATTCCGATGACGTTCGCATTAGGTCCGCTTTGTAACGTTCACTGACGGACATTCCGACAACGTTCGCATTAGGTCCGCTTTGTAACGTTCGCTGACGGACATTCCGATGACGTTCGCATTAGGTCCCCTTTGTAACGTTCGCTGACAAACATTCCGATGACGTTCGCATTAGGTCCGCTTTGTAACGTTCCCGATTGGACGTTCGGAGGACGTCCGCACTTGGTCCCCTTTGTAACGTTCGCTGACGGACATTCCGATGACGTTCGCATTTGGTCCACTTTGTAACGTTCGCTGACGGACATTCCGATAACGTTCGCATTTGGTCCCCTTTGTAACGTTCGCTGACGGACATTCCGATGACGTTCGCATTAGGTCCGCTTTGTAACGTTCGCTGACGGACATTCCGATAACGTTCGCATTAGGTCCGCTTTGTAACGTTCGCTGACGGACATTCCGATAACGTTCGCATTTGGTCCGCTTTGTAACGTTCGCTGACGGACATTCCGATGACGTTCGCATTAGGTCCGCTTTGTAACGTTCGCTGACGGACATTCCGATGACGTTCGCATTTGGTCCACTTTGTAACGTTCGCTGACGGACATTCCGATAACGTTCGCATTTGGTCCCCTTTGTAACGTTCGCTGACGGACATTCCGATGACGTTCGCATTAGGTCCGCTTTGTAACGTTCGCTGACGGACATTCCGATAACGTTCGCATTAGGTCCGCTTTGTAACGTTCGCTGACGGACATTCCGATAACGTTCGCATTTGGTCCGCTTTGTAACGTTCGCTGACGGACATTCCGATGACGTTCGCATTAGGTCCGCTTTGTAACGTTCGCTGACGGACATTCCGATGACGTTCGCATTTGGTCCGCTTTGTAACGTTCGCTGACGGACATTCTGATGACGTTCGCATTTGGTCCGCTTTGTAACGTTCGCTGACGGACATTCCGATGACGTTCGCATTTGGTCCGCTTTGTAACGTTTGCTGACGGACATTCCGATGACGTTCGCATTAGGTCCCCTTTGTAACGTTCGCTGACGGACATTCCGATGACGTTTGCATTAGGTCCGCTTTGTAACGTTCGCTGACGGACATTCCGATGACGTTCGCATTAGGTCCACTTTGTAACGTTCGCTGACAGACATTCCGATGACGTTCGCATTTGGTCCACTTTGTAACGTTCGCTGACGGACATTCCGATGACGTTCGCATTTGGTCCCCTTTGTAACGTTCGCTGACAAACATTCCGATGACGTTCGCATTAGGTCCGCTTTGTAACGTTCCCGATCGGACGTTCGGAGGACGTCCGCACTTGGTCCCCTTCGTAACGTTCGCTGACGGACATTCCGATGACGTTCGCATTTGGTCCACTTTGTAACGTTCGCTGACGGACATTCCGATAACGTTCGCATTTGGTCCGCTTTGTAACGTTCGCTGACGGACATTCCGATAACGTTCGCATTAGGTCCGCTTTGTAACGTTCGCTGACGGACATTCCGATAACGTTCGCATTTGGTCCCCTTTGTAACGTTCGCTGACGGACATTCCGATGACATTCGCATTAGGTCCGCTTTGTAACGTTCGCTGACGGACATTCCGATGACGTTCGCATTTGGTCCCCTTTGTAACGTTCGCTGACGGACATTCCGATGACGTTCGCATTTGGTCCGCTTTGTAACGTTCGCTGACGGACATTCCGATGACGTTCGCATTTGGTCCCCTTTGTAACGTTCGCTGACGGACATTCCGATAACGTTCGCACTTGGTCCCCTTTGTAACGTTCGCTGACGGACATTCCGATAACGTTCGCATTTGGTCCCCTTTGTAACGTTCGCTGACGGACATTCCGATGACGTTCGCATTTGGTCCGCTTTGTAACGTTCGCTGACGGACATTCCGATGACGTTCGCATTTGGTCCCCTTTGTAACGTTCGCTGACGGACATTCCGATAACGTTCGCACTTGGTCCCCTTTGTAACGTTCGCTGACGGACATTCCGATAACGTTCGCATTTGGTCCCCTTTGTAACGTTCGCTGACGGACATTCCGATGACGTTCGCATTAGGTCCGCTTTGTAACGTTCGCTGACGGACATTCCGATGACGTTCGCATTAGGTCCGCTTTGTAACGTTCGCTGACGGACATTCCGATAACGTTCGCATTTGGTCCGCTTTGTAACGTTCGCTGACGGACATTCCCATGACGTTCGCATTAGGTCCCCTTTGTAACGTTCGCTGACGGACATTCCGATAACGTTCGCATTTGGTCCGCTTTGTAACGGTCGCTGACGGACATTCCGATGACGTTCACACTTGGTCCCCTTTGTAACGTTCGCTGACGGACATTCCGATAACGTTCGCATTTGGTCCCCTTTGTAACATTCGCTGACGGACATTCCGATGACGTTCGCATTTGGTTCACTTTGTAACGTTCGCTGACGGACATTCCTATAACATTCGCATTTGGTCCGCTTTGTAACGTTCGCTGACGGACATTCCGATAACGTTCGCATTAGGTCCGCTTTGTAACGTTCGCTGGCGGACATTCCGATGACGTTCGCACTTGGTCCCCTTTGTAACGTTCGCTGACGGACATTCCGATAACGTTTGCATTAGGTCCCCTTTGTAACATTCGCTGACGGACATTCCGATGACGTTCGCATTTCGTCCACTTTGTAACGTTCGCTGACGGACATTCCGATAACATTCGCATTTGGTCCGCTTTGTAACGTTCACTGACGGACATTCCGATGATGTTCGCACTTGGTCCCCTTTGTAACGTTCGCTGACGGACATTCCGATAAGGTTCGCATTTGGTCCGCTTTGTAACGTTCGCTGACGGACATTCCGATGACGTTTGCATTAGGTCCCCTTTGTAACGTTCGCTGACGGACATTCCGATAACGTTCGCATTTGGTCCATTTTATAACGTTCGCTGACGGACATTCCGATAACGTTCGCATTTGGTCCATTTCATAACGTTCGCTGACGGACGTTCTGAGGACATTTGTCCGGGCCAGTTTGCGAACGTCCCTATTTCGTCCCTCACCTGCCATTTCCATGACAACACTTGCAAAATCCAGTCGCCCATGCGTTTGCTATCATCACTTTGCAACTAAACTAAAATATAAATGCCAATATTTGCATTAATTAAGTTCTAAAAATGTTAGTGTTTTAATGTTAAGATAATAATTTTTTTATGTTACTTCATGTAAATTCTATCACTAATTAAAGATGTAATAAAATCACGAGTCTGTTATAATAATAATAATAATAATATTTATTTATAGAGCACGTTTAAAAACAGCCAGGGCTGACCAAAGTGCTGTACAAAGCAGAAAAAATAATGCACAGGACAATAAAAAATAAGCTATTAACAATCAGGGAGAATTAAAAGCAAGAGAAAATAAAAAAGTCTTTAAAGAAGATTTAAATATGGAGACGGAGGGAGCCAGTCTGATATAGTCAGGCAGACTGTTCCAGAGTTTTGGGCCAGCAGTGGCAAAAGCACGGTCGCCTCGTTTTTTGAGTCTGGATCTAGGCACGATAAGGAGGCAGTGGTCACTGGATCTCAAGGCACGAGAAGGTTTGTACAGACGGAGCAGATCGGTCAGGTACTGAGGGGCCGAATTGTTAAGAGCTTTATACACAAAAAGTAAAATTTTAAAATCAATTCTAAATTTGACAGGTAGCCAATGAAGTTTGAATAAGATAGGGGTGATCGATTCATACTTGCGTGTCCCAGTGAGGAGTCTAGCTGCTGCATTTTGCACTAGCTGTAGGCGAGAGAGAGAAGACTGAGATAGACCAAAATAAAGAGAGTTACAATAGTCTAGTCGAGATGTTACGAATGCATGAATCACTGTCTGGAGATTACTCTGAGTTAGAAAAGGTTTCACTTTAGAAAGTTGGCGGAGGTGAAAAAAGCATGACTTTACGACGGCACTGATCTGTTTCTCAAATTTTAAGTTGTGGTCAAACAGGAAACCCAAATTTCTTGCACAGTGGGTTTCATACGGTGCGAGAGTACCACGGTCGACATCATACGTGCAGTTTTCCCTGGGGCCGAAGATAATTATTTCTGTTTTATTTTCGTTTAGGTTTAGAAAGTTACTTGAAAGCCAAAGTTTAAGTTCGCTTAAGCAGTCAAACAGGGGTTGTAGACCATTTTTATCGTTTTGTTTTAAAGGAAAGTAAATCTGAGTATCGTCAGCATACAGATGAAAGGATACTCCGTATTTGTTAAAAATGGAAGCCAGAGGTACCAAATATAAAATAAACAATACGGGCCCGAGGATTGATCCCTGTGGGACTCCGCAGTTCAAAGGTACACTAGAGGAGGATTGATGCCCTATACGGACGCTAAAACATCTGTTGGTCAGATAGGAGCGGAACCACTGCAATACTGTGCCTCTAAAGCCCACGGATAACTCCAGACGTCGCAACAGGACCTCATGATCAACTAAATCAAATGCAGCACTCAAATCTAATAAAACTAGAGCCAGTGATTTCCCAGAGTCAGTTTCAGTGAAAATATCACTTGAAACTCTTAAGAGAGCAGATTCAGTACTGTGTAAAGCTTTAAAACCAGATTGAAATGTTTCATGGAGGGAATTTACAGATAAGTAAGATTGTAGTTGAATCAGTACAACTCTCTCAATGATTTTCGAAATAAAAGGTAAGTTAGAAATAGGACGAAAGTTACAAAGAGCGGAAGGATCGAGATTGATTTTTTTAAGATACGGCGTCACCACAGCAACTTTCAGACTGTTTGGGAAGGCACCAGTTGACAGGCATTTGTTAATTAAAAATAACAGGCCAGGACCAACTGTGGCCATGATTTGTCTCAGGAAAAAAGGTGGAATAATATCCTGTGGACAGATAGTAGGTTTTAAATGACCAACAATTTCGTTACATGTGTCCAGATCAATCGGCTTAAACTCAGACCAGATGGAGGGACATAATGGATCAACATGTGTATATCCAGAGTTAGACAAGTGAGATCTTAAGGTTGTGATTTTATCAACAAAGAACCTCCCAAAGTTGTCACAGAGAGCAGTAGATGGCTCTAAAATGGGATGCACAGAGGGATTTAAAACTGAACTAATAGTAGCAAAGAGAACTTGAGGTTTATGACAATTGTTAGATATGAGTTCAGAAAAATGTTTACATTTTGCAGACTTTGCGGCATTCTGAAATGCCTTGTAGGCGTTTTTCATGATTTCATACGAAACCTGCAGATGGTCCTTTTTCCATTTGCGCTCCGCCTGTCTACATACCCGTCTAAGGGTACGTGTAGTGTCAGTGTGCCAAGGCACAGGTGCAGGCTTGTGGTTTTTATACTTCAAAGGCGCAATAGAATTCATAATGTCTGAGCAGGTGGAGTTAAAAAGATTAAGATGTGCATCAGCGTCCAGGTTGTGTAGGGTAGAATTAGATTCCAGGGAGTTTCGCACATCATGATAGGCTGTGGAAAAATCTTCACTGGAGCGTTGATTAAGACAGCGTGTTAAACGTGCCAGCGATGGACTTTTAAGTGTGCGTCCAGGCAGAGGAACAGTAAAAAGTACAGGCATGTGGTCAGAGAAAGATGCACTGCTGATTTCTATATCCGAGATAGAGAAGCCATGGGTTAAAATCAAATCAAGGGTGTGGCCGTGGATGTGTGTTGGACCAGAAACCCACTGAGTAAAGTCAAACGACTCGATCATATTTTGAAAGTCAGCGGAGTATGGTTTGGAAGTACAGCAAACATGAATATTGAAATCACCCAGCAGTAATATTTTGTCATGCCTGATAACTAAATCGCCCATTAGTGCAGCAAGCTCACTTAAAAAGTCCTTATTTTGCAGAGGAGGACGATAAATTAGAGCTATGGAAATGGGGTTTACTAAGACTAATTGTAGCAGTTGTACCTCAAAACTGTGGTAAGAGCCAGTAGAAAGAGGTCTACAGTGAAGTGAGTTTTTAAAAACAGTGGCGAGACCTCCGCCGCGGCCAGACAAG